TTGTAGGGGAAGCTGTTGTTGTAATGTCTAAGTACCTTGATAAGAATATGATTTAGATGTGTTTTCTTTTAAGTTATAAATCACTGTATGTTCATGATAAAATAACTTGGCTTGACTTTCTTCAGTAGGGATACCAAGACTCCAGGAGGCACATAAGCTGTTTTGAATCAAACCTTTCTGAAAATGGAATACTTGACAGTTATGAATAAAGTTATTTAACAGTCAACTTCCTGTGGTTTACATGCATTTCTGAATCGGGAGGAGGTTGAAGGGCCACAGCTGAGGTGTATACGTTCCATTTAAACAAAAAAGCGCATCTTTTACAAGCAAAGTGATTGCTTGAAGTCCAAGATGATAATATGGTTTATTTTAATTCTACATTAAAGGTGAAAAAGCATAATCTTCTAACACCGGAAGATCTTTGAAGCTGATGTGTAAGGCATTCATTTTACTGCATTGGTTTATTGCAGGGCTTGTTGCTTCAAGTGTCTGTGTGTCAATGTGCATGCCGGAAATCTATTTAAGCCGAGGTTTTACTTTATCATTGATATTCGCATCTTTGGGCCTATGCTTTAATTTCAGTACAAGGAAATGGGCAGTGGTAAGTTCAATGGTATGGTCTGTGCAGTGTAACAAACAAATTATTATTAACCTTAAACCACACTTGAGAGGCTTGCAGTTCAGAACTGCTCAACTGTAAAAATGACTTTAAAGAGTTCACCTGCATTTTAAAAAAAAGGGGAGGGGGGAAATAAAAGGCATTCACCTGCAGCTAGGTTAAGACCTGCACATAACCCAACCAGAAGCATGCTATGTTATATAGTATGTGGTCTTTGGTGAATGTTAGCAGCCCTAAGTTCAAGGGGCTGTGCTATATCAGAGTAGTAGCCTTTATATTTAGCTTGGATGAGCTTTTGGGTACCTGTCTGAGAATAGTTGATCCTTACTCTGTGTTTGTAAGTAGATCTCAAAAATAATTGTAAATAGTATGTGTGTATTTTCCCTACTCCTGACTCTTGTAACTTTTTTAACCATAAAGACAAAATCGTAGATCTGATCTTTCTGGCTTCGTGACTTGTTCAAGGACCTCTTGGTAGAAGAGACGTTCTAAGTAAGTTCAGTTTCTCACTGTATGTATGTATTTCTTAATTAGATCTTTAATTGATTTTCTGTCATATGTGCTCACAGAACATGGGTCTGAACACTAAACAGGAATTTACTGCAAAACTAGTGAACTGTTTTAACAGCTGCTGATCTGCAGTTTCTCAAGCTCCTGTCGTATTTGTCGTTGGCGTGGCCCCTTTGTGGCGCACTGGGAGTACGGGTGCAGATCGGCCGCTGTAACAGCGCAGCAGAAGTAAGGCGCAGTCAGCTAACAATGATTACTGTGGCAGGGTGGGGAAAGCCAGTTTCTTTTCTAGTCATCTCAGGTAAACCAAATAACTTAGGGTTAGTCTGAAGGGAGGTTTTATAACGTGACAGCTGTCTGTTGAATGCAGCTGAACGGCCGCTCTCTTCGGTTTACAGAATGTGCGATCTAGTCCTGTATCTAACATTACGAAAAAGGAGGCTGACACAGAAACGGTACTGTCTTCAGTCTTTTTTGGCCTTGGTAGGTTTTTATTGCACAGGACTGTGGTTATATCATCCTCTTATTAAGTTTTAACAACTGCTGGAATTAAGTCTGTCTTGGTGGTGTTAAGTGTTTTTGTTTTGCTCTCTCTCTCTCCCTCTCTCTCTCCCTCTCTCTCTCTCTCAATATTACATAATACTGAGAAAGGTTTTCCAAAGGTTTACACCTTTAGAAAGGATCAGAAGTCTTGCTTGATTGTTTTGTAATGGTGCCTTTTGGAAGACTATTTTAAATGGGTCAAAACTCTTTAGTTTTGCAGTAGTATGTTCTCATCACGGTCTGTTGGTCATGGTAGTCTGTAATTCAAGAGTGTGCTTGTAGTTAGCAGTGCTTAGCCCACTAACATTGAAATGTCCTGGTCAGATGGAAAATTACCTCTGGTCAAGGCATTGGCTTCTAGCTGTGTAGTGTAGAGGGGTGTCTGGAATAAGAAGGAAGAAGAGATGATGAGTTTGAAGCTCTGCTAAATTCTCAGTGAATGCAAGCTGAAAAAGTCGGTGACTGAACAACTTTTATCCTTAAAGATAATGTTAGGTTGAGTCATGTTGACAAGCACTTGCTTGGTGTGTCATATTAGTTGTCTGAATGGATTTTTGATAAAGCAGCGCTCAGTGAATAACTTGAAGGTGGGGAGGAGAAGGGAAACTGGTACATCACTGCTTTTTGAACTGTATTATGCTTGTAAGTGAATGTCTTTATAGCTTAACCCATTTTCAGTTTCAAAATACCCACCTTGATGTTTATCTGCCATGAAACTTTATACATGACAGCCTAAAAACTTTAGCAGTCTTAATGTGTGTTTTGACTGCTAGTTTGCTGTTAGATGTGTGGGTCTAGAGCGTTAGTGTTGCTGCAGGCTGTGATGTATTTTGCATTCATGTTTTCAGGAAATCCCCTCTTTTGGGAAGCTGCCTCTGGTGTTGTTTTGTGACCTTTGCAGGCTGTGGTTTACTTGTGTGCTAGAATAGCTCAATCCATTGCAGTAGCAGTAAGCTCCCAAGATTTAAAGGAGAGCATTCCAGCACTGCAGAGTTAATGCTGCTTTAGGGAGTAAACGTTGCTGTAAGTAGTATAAAAAGAGCTGTCTAAGATTAAAATACATACATACACACATACATTCATACTTACAGGCTCTGAGGCCCAGGTATTTTAGAATAAATACCTACAGCTAATGAGTCTGGAATCTGGCTGATTTGTGCACAGTACTGTGTTTTTGTTGACACCTACTAGAATCTACGAAAGAAATTAAGTCCGACCTTAAACCTTATTTTATCTTTAGTATTCAACTAAAGACAATGGTTTTAGGATCAGAATTCAGGCCTCCTTAATACTATTTCTCCTATTTGGGAAGCTTGAAGCAAAAGTGCTCCCGATAGATTTGTGCATCAAGGTTTTTTGTGTATTTATTTTATGTATAATGGGAATGCTCTTTTCCCTGTGCTTCCTTTACAGGAGTGAGATTAGAATGGATTTCTGAATTACTGAAAAAGATGTAGTCATAAAATACTTAATACAGTCATCACCAACAGTTGCTACTGTGTTCCAAGCAAACTTTAAAATGGTTAGTTTTATTGCCGCCGTTTGTCATCAGAGAGAAAATAGGTAGTGTTCAGGCAAATAGAAGGTAAAAGAAGGTAGTAGATCTGTGTTGGACTCTGTCCCTGTAGGTGTGTCAAGCACAAGGCGTGTTTCAATGAAAGTCCCAGTCTTGCCCAATTAAAGGTTGAGGTTCCAATTGCACGCTGTAAGGTTTGGTGTCTACTCTCATTACGTGACTGTTTTTAGTACCTCCAAAACTTGCAAAGCTACCTGGGTTAGGTATCTGCCAGACTCCTTTTTGGACTGTTACTTTATATGATTGTCTTCCTGCTGCTTAGATGACACAGTTTAATATTGAGGTTTGATACTCTTCCTAGATAACTTTGAAGAGCTCAAATTCAAGTGAGGGAAAGTCCTCATCAGGGCGTAACTGCCGTCCTGTCTCACTGCTCTAACTTGGATATAGTTGCCCCAGTTTCGGACACTAATGGATTTCTCGTCAAGAGAATTTAGCCAGCATTCCTGTTCTCCCATCTGCCGAGTGGGAATACAGATGATTTTCTTTGTGTATTTACTATTAAGAAAGTCAGATACAGCTTGGTAATTAAGAGCTTTTAAAGGCAAACATATTTCTGCTTCTGTCATGATGCTGAGAATCCTAAAAGGTACTTTCCTCATTTGCAATAAATTCCGTCAGTAATACAGAATCATTTAAGATGATAAACCTCCATTTTCTGTGGGCATATTAGCTGGAGCAGACATAAATAGAAGTGTGGATGTAGCTGCTTGAGTGAGTGCTAGGAAGCCTGCTTGGATCCAGATGAGTTTGATAGCTCTGGTGCTGACTCGCGAATACAGCTGTGCCACTCTGACTCATGCTTATGCAGTGCTGTGCTGGAGTGAATGAGCAGCGCTGAAATCTGCTGTGCCACTGGTCTCGGGGCTGGTTATTAGCTTGGGTACAGCATCATGCTAGGATGGCTCTATTGCCTCTGGACTAATCTGGTCCTAGACCAGGAAGCTCTCTGAAAGATGGTGCAAAAAAATCTTAAATTATTTAAAGT